TCATTTTAATGCTGCCAACTTGGAATATTTTATCATCATGAATTAGTTTTGAAGATGTAAGTTATAAATAACATTTTGGTTAGCATTAAATAGTCTAATGCTTGAGTACTCCATATTTATATGCGTTTATTCTGTGAAAAGCTGTTTAGGGATTCCATATGTGCAACAGTACGTGGAAAATCAATTTGCTGACAACTTGACATGCTGCTAATCATTTTTGCAGCTTACACTTTTTTCTGGATTTGTCAGCTATCAAATGGTTCGGGATGCAAATGATGGTGTACCTTCCTGGAATTACACTTTCTAAGAATTGGCTTCTGTTTTAGTTCATTCAGAATTCTGCAAAAGTTTAGCACATTGGCTGATAAAATGTTTTCTGCTTTGTTTTTATGTGTTGAATGTTGATGAAGAAATTGATTGATATGTGAAACGTGCAAACATGGCTTATTTGACATTGGATTTAGTTCTTTTGTTTAAGCAACAACTAATGTACCTTTTAGCACAGTCCTGTAATGGGTTCACACCCCATTGGTGCCTTTTAGTGCAACATTTTCTTCATTTATCAAAAATAATAATTGTAATTTGCCAGTGGAAGAACAGTCACTTTAAGTATGTGAATTCCAGTTGATTTCATATTGAAAGCTTGCTCTAGTATAAAGGATGCAAAACATGTAGACTGCTTACGTAATGTTGTAAACAGCTTATTCTTAGCTTTTAGTATGTTCTTAATGTCTTCTTCATGCTTATTGTACATTCTCATCTCATATCATTTGTCTTTCTTTCTCAGCTGGGAGTTCTCAATTTGGAAGTCTCCTGTCAATTGGTCATTCCTCTGGCAAAACAGACGGACTTTACATGAAAGGTCCCGGAGGGCGTGGTGAAGTTGAAGTGGTTGTTTCAGGTGTTGAGGATCAGTAAGAAATTCCTTCTTTCAAAATTATCTTGTATAATTCACTTTATTTCCACATTTTCTCAATGCTTATGTAGTGTAAATGTTGCAACAGACTGTAAATTGATTATGATCTATGTTTCTCAAGTCTTAACGAATGTCAAAGCCCAAATTGCCATATGTCCGGTTGATCAATCATTATGTCACACTTCAAAGTGATGATAAATTTTAAGGTATTGAGGGTTATTATAAATGGTAATTAGTAATTACCTGTAGTTAATGGTGTGTTGTCAGTGTAGTTTGTGCAAGCATTTGAACAGTGAAACAATCTGTATGCGATTACTTTTGGAAATTATTATGAATACTTTGCTTCCCCTTTTTTTTCCTAATATTTTTTCCTTCTTATTGTGAACAACTACTTTGTTTAATGAAATGGATATTAGTTGATTGATCATATTATGTGAATGGTGCATGCAAGGATTGAGTCAAATACTGAATCTATGTTTCTCTATCAGAGCAAAGCAAGCAGGATTCAAGCCCTTTTCACCAGTTATATCAAAAAGGGGTTTTGGACTTGGCTCAGTTGTTCAAAAAGCAGCTTCTGTTGCGACTGTGGCAGCGAAGCATGCTTATGAAGCTGCTGCTACCACTTCAACTTCCGATGAAGAGATGATACCTCTCAAATGCTGCTTAATGTCTACAAGGTTGCCCTGGGAACACATTGATCATGATCTTTGGTTCAAGGTATGATCTTTATATTGTAATCTCATATGCTGCATTCACTGATTTTTCTCTGCATGCCAATGGGTGTCTAACTTCTATTTTTGCTTATTGCCAAACTCAGGGAAGTCCTCCAGTGAACTTGTAAATGTCTTGTATTGCTTATTGCCATCTGCGAAACAGATCAGTAGATGCTACCTGCAGAAGGAAAAAGCATTTGAGAAGCACACATGCAAAAAATGTCCAAAAAATTCCACCTTGAGCATGAAAGGAGATTCTCTCTCCCCCAATATGTTGGTGTGGGGTTGAGCATCTTAAGGCTGTGTGATGAAATATTGTACATAATTAATTGTAAATGGTAGTCTGTTCTTTATATTATTTGATTATATCAGATTCTTATACAATATTCCTAATGAATGCGAAGGTTTTATGTCGACTTTCCTATCTCTTCTATGGCAAAGACTATCACTTAGAAATACTACTTCCATTTGCGTAGGAATTGTCTCTTTGCAGTACTATTGAGCTACCCATAAAAGTTTCAAAAAAACTCAAAGACTGTCAGTTTCAAAGTGCTTTCTATCCTTTCCTAATTGCTGTCATGTTTCTTTTTCTCATTGGCCAACCAGCTCAATTTTTGTGACGAGTACTCTACTATATGGCTTTCCATCCTATCAAATTTACTTTATGCAATCCATAACTAGATGTGCATCACTTTTGGTCTTTGTGGACTGTTGTTGCCTTGCTCTTTAAACTCAATACTTTTGATATCCGGTGTTGGCCTCTGAAAAAAGCAAAGGGCAATGAGATTAATTCAAGATTATCAGCTTTTGAGATATTCTGTCGTTCCCCTCCATTGCCTTTAGTGTGCAGATAGGAGAGAAAGGCTCCACTGGGTTTGCCTGCGCCTTAAGCAAAACACAAAGATGGCAAAGGGTTTCTGGTGTTGGAAGGCATGGCCATTGGGTAATGGCGAAGGAAGGTTCTTTAAACAATTGCTTCGTCTTATAAAATTCCAAAATATACAGATTTTTGCAATTGAGGGAAATGTTGATGCTTCAGTTGTGCCAAAGACATGTCTACTTTTGGTAGCTTAGCCTGTTTGAAAGTTCAAACCATCATATCCTAAGAAAATCCTTGTTGGGCCCTTTTAATGCTTTGTCGTTGTCTTAATTTATATGTACCAAAAAAATGCATTTGATACAAGTTTTTAATACCAATATGATAATGTATTTTTCGAAAAAAAAAATATTTTCAAATGTTATTGTTGAATATATAAGAAAATTTTTTTGGCCAATGGATACATAAAATTTTTTAATTGCGTTTGTTACAAGATATTATTTATTTTGAGACATGAAAATTTATCCTATGATTTTGTTAAAAAAAAAAAGTCAATAAAAAACCTAAATCTTTGCTTTGTGACCATTTCAATTACAATTATTTTTATTATAATTTTATAATTATTCAATCATAATAAAAAAATTATATAAATGTTCATCACTTATAAATATGAGATTCATAGAAAATTTTGATAGACTCCATATAATTTTAAATTCTAATTAATTAGTTAATAATAGTACAATAATTATATATATTTCATATGCTCTTTTTTGCTTTTGCTTGTAATTGTACAATTCAATCTTTGATTAATAAAGGTGTGAAATCTTACGCCCTCAACGGTCATAATTAAAAATTTTCAAGACTTAATCCCTAAACTGTAATTAAAGTTTTGATAGAATCCTCTAGCTTTTAAATATAAATTTGATTATTAATTAATTCTCGTGTTATTTCTTAAAGTATTAAGAACAAAGTTTTATAAAAAAAAACAAGTATTAAGAAAGAAGTATATAGTTGAGGATATCAAAACTCTTGAATTTGAAGAAATAATCATTAAATTCCCTCAAGTAAATTAGTCATCTTACACCTAAATATATTTACAATGTGTTTAAATTAAACTTAATTAGAAAATCAAGAAAAAAGCACCACTATTTTATCTGAAACTTAATTTAATTGATTTATATAATTATTTTTAAAAAATATTATCTAACATATTTAAAATTTAAATTTCAACACCTATAATCTTTTTTGCTATTGCTATTCTCGATCGGGGGACTCTTAACCTGATAAATTGAGGCAGTCGGTTAGTGCAACGAAAGGTAAAAGACTATGAAAAAGGAATTAGGAATCCTGGATTCCTGGTGGAATGTTAAACGAAATAAGTTGCAGCACATGAGCCCAACTAGTCCTCTATATGTTGATTAAAGCAGTTAAATTATTATATACAAAAAAAAATTAAAGAATACCAGCGATCGTGTGCATGTTAGCCTCCACTATTGTATTTGTATATTGGCCTTTGGGGAATGTGTAGCAGCTACCATGGTGAAATCAATACCAACTGCCGAATAAAGGAAAACTTCCAAGATCCCTATGAAAGAATATCAAGAAAAACTATGTTCCAACTTCCAAGAACGCTATGTAACTAAGAAAACTACCCTGCAATCAGCAGAACTGTGAAAACAATTTAAAACTAATAAAGAATGTAAAAGAAAAGCAAAATCACACTGAGTTTTTGAGGGGTAAAAGGTCATGTAGCTCAAACAAAAGGCAATTCTAATTCCACCCACAAAAACTACATTTTTTCTTGTTTTTGGACGAGTAAAATGTAGCTTAAAAATGTTAAGATTCTTAGTACAAGAAACCATATGCATTTCTGTTTATATATTCTTTTCTCGTATGGTATTTTTGCAATTGTCTTTTCTCCCACATGCAATGCCCACATAATCATTGTAATAACTAAGAAACTAAACTCCAAACTTCTTGTCTTTATATACATTTTCTTATGAAACATATTTGAGAGTTGAGACATATCTCCCATTACATTGGTTTCATGTTACCAACCAAACACCGACAAAATCCACGTAACTCCTCCTTTGTAGCCCCTTAACAGTCTCTAGCAACACCTTTAATTTTTCTCTTTGAAAATTTTTCATTTTTTTTGGTATTGTATGACTGCCGCCACCTTTCTCCCCTGCGTATCCCACATGACTTCTCGTCTTTGTCTCTCTAATATATAAACATCACTTTTCAAGCAGTTTTTTTTTTTATCAGTTTTTGTTAGATTCTTCGTGATTAAGGCAAACCTAATCTTCTCCATGACCCCCCCCCCCCCAACTCTCTCTCATAACAAAAATTAAAAAAAAAAGGTATGAAAAAAATGATCCCCACTACCTTTAAACCAAAGGATTGCTTTGAAATGGTAACTTTTTTCCTCTTTGTTTTTGGGAAAGTATCCTCCTTCCAAAATCATTTGTTTTCAAGGACCCTACATGTCCCTTCCCTACCTCTTTAAATACCCTTTCCCTCCTCTTCTATCCTTCCCTTTTCCCCTCTTCTCTTCCTCCTAGTATCAGTTTAAAATTAGGGTTCTTTTTTTTTTCACTTCTAGCCTCATTTTGGTTGGTTTATAACTTTGAACACTTTTTTTTTTGGTATTTGGTTTGGTTTACTTAACGCAATGTTTTTCGCTGAAGAAGAGGTTCAAGTCCAATCACCGGTTTCTGAAACCTGTTTTACACCCGAGGAGCTTGAAGAATTATTATCTTTCATTGAATCTGATCAACCGGTTAGTCCAAACTCTGGTTCAGAAGGTTCAAGTCGAGCGTTATATTCAGTGGACGAGAGGAAGCAAAGACGCATGATATCAAACCGAGAGTCAGCGAAGCGGTCCCGTTGTAGAAAAAAGATGTATTTGGAGAACCTCACGGACGAAGTGAACCAGCTGAACATAGAGAACCAGCAGCTTAGGAACGGGTTAAGTTTACTTGTTAATCATTGTCACGTTGTATGGCGAGAAAATGAACAGTTAAGATCCGAATCCGTAGCTCTTTGGGCCAAACTCTTGGATCTATACTGGACTTTAGCCGCCATGTAATCACAATACCTACATCTTTAGCTTACCTTAACTAAATCACTATCACATCCCGAATAAAGCTCTAATTAAATGAAACTATTGAAATTTGAAGAGCAAAAGAAGGACTTAGAGCTTAATTTCTCTTGTTTCTACATAATATTAGGCAACATTGGTCAAAAAAAGATGGTGGATAAACCCCACTTTTGTTATCATGTAAAAAAAATTTTAAGTCTTACTTTTTTGGTCTTCTTTTTATGAGGATTTTTCTTTCTTATTAGCAGCTTTTGCATGCGTCTTGGTAAAGTTAAGCCGAAGAGCAAATGATTCTTGTACATAATTGATGGGTCAATATATTAGTGAATGCAATGATGCTTCACTCAGTATTTTATTAAAATTTAGTATTAGTCTGTTGCTGTTATAATTTTGATGGGATTGAATAATAAAAAGTTGACAAGTTTTAACAATATATTACTTCTGTCTTTGCAAACAAAAAGAACAACCTCGGGGATCTGCACATGTGGTTGGAACTTTGGTTAAATTTTTCCATGGGCGGTTGTTGGCTTTAAAGCTTACAAAATTTGAAGAGACCTCCCGACTCAAGCTATAGTTTCATATGCTAAAGAGATGAACACATATAATCATGATTAAGAGCAGTTAAAATACTATTTAAGAACATACTTTTGTATTTATTACATTGTTTTCATTACATTTAATGACATATAATGTATTAATTATATTTTTTTCTTTAAATATCACTTCAAAATATTGATATAAGCTGGTAAAAATGTTGCCATAGTTCAACGCTGCGAAATCAACAGATTTCTTTGCCAGGTTAGCTGCTTAATATTAAGAATCTCAAATCTTAATATTGAAGAGGAGAGTCAACATTATGAGATAAAAAAAAAAAAAAAAGAGGGTTTAATTAGGGTTTAATTTTTAATAAGTCATAACAGAATTAAAATCTCCCGAAATTTACATGAATTAAAAAAAAAAAAAAAAAACCTTTCATTTGTATTGCTATGCTAGAAGTGATCGCAATATGTACATGATTAAGGTATCATATATAAGCGCTTGAAGGACTCTTACCAAAAATGAAAGATGATTACACACCGACCTTCCAAAATTAGCACATACACTCTAACCCATGAAAATGCACAAAACAACATCATTACAATTTCAATCAAATCTTGAAACCTTCATGCAAAGGGAGAATTTCACAAGGATCGAGGGCGAAAAGCAAAAGTCATCCTCATTTCCAAAACAAATCATGTGCTACTTTCTTCCAGGGGGAAAAAGAAAAGGAAGTTGGCAATCTCCATCTTTAACAGATATTATGTCTTCTCATATCCTTAACAATTAAATTTTTTATGAGATTCTCACAAATTTTGGCTGTCTCTTCATCAAATATAACTCCTATATCTTGAATATTCCATTTGTTAATAGTTTAAACTCATCAAAGTTTATAGCTTAATATACCCCACAAAAAAAAAAAAAAGTAAGAAAGAAAACTTTAGAAAAGTCTGCTACCATCAAAATTTGGAACTTTAAACCAACCAACCGAATGCATGCTAGTCAAAAAAGCAAAGAAAAACCACCTTCAAGTCTTCCTTTTTTTTTTTTTAATTTTTCTTTTTGTTAGTGAGATTTGTTGTATGGATCAGGATGTAAAGACCAATTCCATCGTAAACAATTAAAGAATAACAAATGCGAACTTTCTTTTTTCTTGAAAAATGTTTATAAATTAGTGTAAAAAGATGATGCATATCCCTACTTTATTATACAGTTTATATTTAATGCATAATTAATATATAAATTTTATATACAATTAATAAATCAGATGATATCATCTCATTAATAAATAATTTTAAATAATTATAAATCTTAAAATAAATTCACATAACTTTGATTTTCTTTTATAAAAATTTTTTTAATAGTGAGGGCATAATCATGTATAAAATTTATAATCGATAATCTATCAAATATAAACTTTTTATTATCACTATTAAAATTTAATTAAACTTTAAAAGTTCATGAAACTGTTTGCTGAATTTCCCAGATAGGGCCCCTTTTATCCAGGTGCAGGGACATGATTTGGATAATTTCGGTCCGTAGCCCCCCCTCAAATCAACCAAAAATTAATTACAAAACACCAAAAAAAAAAAGAGACTCGGTTATCCCAACAACCAAAAGAAATTAAAAATAAAAAATAAAACAGACTAAGAGCCAGTCTTCTTTTGCCATGAGTTGAGTATACAATTCAAGAATATTGGCTTAATTGTTGTCAAACGTTAGGCTCCTGTCTTTAAGCTGCTTAATTGCTAATTGATAATTATCATCACCCAACGTTTGATGAAACACAATATTAAATTTCTCTCTCGTCTCTTTCTTAATTTGCAAGTTCTGGTAGAGAATATTAAAAGGTTTCACAAAGTTAAGAAACAAGTACGTCTTTTTTGACTAAGAAACATAACTGGTTCATGTATAAATATAATAGACACGGTTACATGAATTTGGGAAGGACGACAATATCTGATATCATCGTACTTCACTGATTAATCTGTAATTGTTGCTCTTTTTTTTTTTTCACATTGGTGAGATGCTTTTAATTTGAAACTTGTCCAACTCATCTTTATTATCGTCCACTAATTATGGAAAGCATCGTACTTTTTTTCTTTTTAGAAGATGGGTGTTTGAGAAGGTGGTGCTACAAGGACCATGCATTTCAATCGTAACTTAAACTCCCAAAAAACAACAACTTTTTTTATTGGTTGCAAAAAGCACTATAAAAAAAATATATTCTTCAAGATTGTTGTTACTTGCATGAAATGCAAATAAAGAATTCAGGTCGACGTGAATGCAAGAATAACAAGTATATTTCGAAGTAATGCATGCAGATGTAGTGTGCTTTGATGGAACAAATAAGTAGGGCTAGGGAAATCTGCATTTGTTTTTTTTAATTGTAGGTGTTAATCACCCTTTACGAATTAGAGGTATATATTGTCGAATCCAATCAAGTTAGATTCGATCAATTTTTTAAAAGTTATGTTTAAAATTCAATTTGATTTGTTGAATTTTTAAAAAAAAATTTTAAATTTTGGATGAAACCGAAAAAAAAAATTTGTTGGTACGAAAGGATTTAATCTCTAGATTAGGCTAGGCCATACAAATGGCAAAATTGGGCCTTAAAGCTTCCTTCCAACCAAACTATGGGGCCAGTATCTCCTGTTATGCCACAAGACCAGTTCTATTGCTGGATCTGGGCCGTTTAAAATGGCATAACATGGCCCAAAATTCAATTTCATAAAAGCTCTCTTGTAAGGGCATTTCCGTCAACCCAATACAACGGTAAAAAAAAGAGAGTTGGATGTCAGTAAAGGCTTTCTAAAGAAAGATGTGGTAGCTTGGAAAGAGAGTTTCAGCTTTTGAAATAAGAAAGAGATTCCTTGCTGAAAACGATCTCTTAATCATCTCCAACGCTCACACTTCTAAATGATGAAAAGGAAAACGTTTTGAAGCACTTGACCACTGAAGTACAGAGAAGGAAACATCTCGAAGAAGAGATTAAACAATTTAGTGTTGCTTTTGCTTCTCGACATAGATCACTTATGTCAATTCATGGTGAATTTAAATCTAAAATTGAGAAATTGAGAGCTGAAAATCCAGCTGAAAGATAAGTCACCTTTACTGTCACTCTACAGAATGGTACATGAGATTTTCACCTCATACAGTTTCTCATTCAATTCTTTCGAAGTCATTGGGGCACAAATCTTTACAGGTACTAAAACCATAAAAGTATAATTCTTTACTGTGATGCTCGGTCTTTCTCTTCTTTTTTTTTCTTCCAATTCTCTCTGAATGTACCTAAATTGTTCTCTATCTAATCCACACATTGTTTGAACCTCAATGATGCTGTAGTTACGTAAATATGTGTTTGGAAGTGATATTCTTCTTATGGAATGCTGCATACCATTTATGATCACTGTTCACTCCATAGTTATTAGACCTTTTTAGATCTGCCTTCACTTTTAATTGGCTCATATTCATATCGGTAGCCATTCATGGCCACAGTTCTTATTCTGTTTCCTTTCTTCAACGTTCTTTATCTTGCTTTCGGAATGTGGTTTAAAGAAGTCTAGTTCAAAGTCCATTTGATCAGAATGCCCAAGAGCTCTAAACATCATTCGAGTTAAATCTTAAGTAAATAATGGAAACTTGAGACACCAACCAATTGCTTGTTTCCCCGTGTTTTCTTATTTCAAATCAGATTCTTGTACCATAGATTTAGACTTTTTAAATGTTCGTTGATCCGAAAACTTGTGTTTTGGGATTGTCAATTTGGCAAAAGTGTTCTTCCTATTCAACTTGGCAGCTAGAAACCGTGTCCATTTCCATTTTCCTCACATTGTTATAAGGCTTCAAAATCTATACGCGAGTCTCTATATCTTAATGCACAAATCACATGAAAAAACAGAAAGAGGCAAGAAACAGAACAGGAAAATCTTTCCTTTCGAGACGAGTCAATAAAGCTATTAGCGAAAAAAAAAAAAAAAGACACTCAAGCTGAAAGACAAGGCCTACTCATTGTATTAATACGATTGTGATGGAATCAATGATGGTGTGTTTCCCAACAGCATGGATACCCACTGGTTACGATGTTAGGCAAGCAAAGTTACAATAAGAAACAAGTAAACTGCTAAAAATCAAATTGAAATTGCCTAAATAATCTAAAAGTCCTAAATCTATAGACAATTACAATTAAGCTTATAAAATACAACAACGTAGCAATAAAATCTCAAGTAGTTTAATAAATCGCCAAATTGGTTTCTTTGCATTTTGCATCAATAGAATAGGAAACCACTGGATTTCACCATCCTCAACGAGTTCACCATCTTCCAGGTCCTCATAACCACTGCTTCTATGCAATCCATCACGATGATCTCTCTTGCGCTTTTTATACCGGCTTTCACTGTCTGATTCAGGTGAGTGTGCATGCTGCCAAGAAAACATTGGATGAACATTAAGACTTGTTGATGACTAAACAATATATCATCGATAGATAGATATACCTTTCTTGATTTCTTACGGCACTGACATGTCTATGAGAATTCTTGGACTCCTATCTATCACCTTGTCTGAACTCCCGTCATCAGCAGCACTTGTCATTTACAGTGTTTCCTAACTTTTTGCTTCTCCTTTTTCTTGCCCTCTTTATGGCGATAACTGTCAGAAATATCTAAATTCTCACTATATGTTTCATCTTTTTTAGTTCGCTCCTTTCCTTTTTCCCTTTCATGTTCTCTTTCCTTCTCCTTTCTCTCCTTCTCTTTCTCCTTTTTAGCCTGCAACCAACCGTGTGGTTTTATACCATATGAAATGCATATCTAATTCAGGAAAAATCAAGGGAAAGCTAAAAAACAAAATGCTATATACAAGTGCTCATATTATTTCACACCATTATGATATACTTAAAGGTTTGAAACAAACTAAAGTTACTTAATTGTGACCAAAGAGTGAGGTCCCTCATAAATATGTCAAAGTTATTTTTTTGAATATACAGGATTTTTAACCACCAACTACTTGGGACATTCTAGTTAAGATTCACACACCTTTTCCTTCTCACGTTTGCGCTCCTTTTCTTTAGCTTTCTCTTGTAAGTGTGCATTATATTACTCAAAGTTCTCTCTCCTAAAGCTCTCTTCTGCAATTGATCTAGTGAAAGTGCACGGCAGGAAACCACCAAGGGGAGGAAATGATCTTAGGATTGTGATGCTTAAGAATGATAATTACACAGCAACTCCAAATGGTTGTTCATCTTAAATGCAAAATAAAAGGGTGTGTATTGGCTCTCAATGTTGGGTGAGAATTTAGCCCACTGGTAACCTCCAAATTCTTCTTCACCTTGTGAATGTGCTAGGGTTAATCTTGAAATCTTAACTTGCATGCCCTTAACATCATCTAAAATGGATCCAAGGTAACATATGCCTCATTTAGTTCAACAACAAATAAAACCCTTTTCCTTCAGGTGCAATGGTGAACCTAAACGTAAATCATACTTTTTTATTACAAATAGTAAAACTTTGCGTAAGCCAAATCTTAAAGATGTTCCCATCAGTCAAGTAAGAAACTTTAAATATATTTTCCAGGGAACCATCAGAAATTACCCAGAAAAAAGAACACAAATTCTAGAATGCATACGACACAAAAAACATATATTGACATCAAATTCCATCCCAAAGGAATCTTTATAGAATCAATAGCAACAAGTATTTAAGTAAGAGAAATGATAAATACAACAAGAGCCATTGACCCAGCATTTCATACCTCTGAAATCAGTAGCCAACATGTACCTGTGGAACTCTTGATAAACCATTACAAACACAAGCTTGCAACAATAAAACCATAAAGGAGGAAAAAAGTGAACAAGTAACAACATAAAATCAGAAGCACCAGATGTAAGTGAACAACAAAGAAGGTTTAATACGAGAGAAATACACAATGAAGAGCATAATGAATTCCTTTACATCAATCTATAAATTCATTGCAGTATGAAGCATAAATGACGTTTGCCTAAAATAAGATACAGTATTAGAAAAACACATGGACTAGTGAAAGAGCCACCAAAAGAAAGAGAGAAATATATCTAGGCAATATAAGTCTAAAAGTAGATTGGATAACTGTATTAATGGGGGGAATAGTATTATCGCCATCCTAAAAACTTCACTAAAGAGTAGGAAATTATGAAAAAATTGAACAGTTAATACTAGGCATTGATTTAGTATGCCAATATATCTAATCATTCCTTGTAAAAAAATTATCCCACATTATAAACAAGATGGAAATAGCAAAATGTTGCCTGCCTTGAGAAAAGTGAAGGCCCGCCCTCAAAGTGACCATTTAGAGCAGTCGTTAAATGTCTCCACACTTGCCATGACGTCTACAAACCAATGCAAAAACAAGCAAAAAAAAGGAGATTTTGCATAAAACAATTTTGATCAAGTTAAGAATGGTTACAGTTTTCAGCATCCATTAAAGGGAACAATTTGTATAAATAGCATATCACAACAAATCCAAGGTTAACAGATCATGGAACAAAATTTAACTGCAGAAACAGCAACCAGATTTTCATGTGCCTCACCTCTATTGGCATCATCAGTTCCAGAGGCTTTTCCCAACTACATTGCCTCGTCTTTTTGTCGTAATAGTATCTGCTTATATGTAAGAACAATTAGACACAACAAACGAACACCAAAGGTCCCTCATGAAGTCTAGATGTCCAAATAACTAAATATAAAGGCTAATTAATGACAATATAGAAGAATAAAATCACAACATGATACCTAAACGGTCCTAGCAGGTTAAAATACCAAAGACATGTAAAGATGCAAACAAAAATTAAGCTACAATATAAAGTTACCTTCTTCCCTCGGCAGATGTACGCTCTTACCAGTCAGATGATTGCAGAGTAAGGCTAGGAACATTGGCAGCCTGGTATGTCAAAAGTGCAAAATCAAAAACAATAAGATTTTCTTAGAATGGTAAAAAGGGTACAGTGGCAAGATAAAATGACATTGAAAACAAAATAAAGTGGAAACTAATCTCCAAGATGCTATCAAAAATAACTAAATTCTAGCATTATATATAATTTCCAAAAAGTTATGACAATAACTTTAGCTACTTAACATCGTAACTCACATCGTAAATACGAAAAAAGTAATGTGTGTGTATATATATATTTTGGTCATTGTGTGGCAGGCTGGTAGCTCCTTTCACTGAGGAGAGAAGTTGTAATGATGAAATCAAAACAGCAAGGGAGATTGTTAATTTTGGATCAGAAACAGAAACAATTTGAGATGGTGTATGGTACGTACAATTTCTTTTTCACAGGCTATGTACAGAAATTGAGGAGACCAAGCAAAAAAACATAGTTAGTCTAGAAAGCCATAAATCAACTGACAGTTTGCAGAGTTTATGAAATTGGATCTGTAAAAAAAATCCTTGTCATAATAGAAAATGATGCGGAGTCCTAGCTACTATGCTTAATGGAACTAAAGTTCATGGAAATACCTAAAAATTCATAAATACTTTTTGAAGAAAACATTCACTCAATGCCACCATGTCATAAAAAAGGTTGTGGGAAAACATTTATTTACAACTGGTTTTAATCTTGTAATCTGTGTATTTATATTTGTATCTCTAGAATTAAGTCTTTGTATCCCTAGAATTAAGGACAAAAAATTAGGATAGACAATCCCTCAATTATAGGATCAGTCTTTAGGAAAATTTAGTTTCCTAGTTTAACCCCTATTTAGTTATATATAAACCTAAGGTTTTTGTATAATTCTTAATGAGCAGTTTTTCAATACACATTTTGTTTTACTCTTAGTTTTTTCACATGTTATCAGAGCTTTCGGCTCTTCTTGGGAAGCAAAACTTTCAGCCTTCATTGCTGACTTCTATTTTAGGCCTTCATTGTCGAACTCTATTAAGGCCTTCATAGCCATTCTATTTTTCCTTTCTTTAGCCCTCATTGCTAAGAGTCATTTCTGGTTATATCTTAAGACTTGTTTCAGTTCAAAGAAAGATATCACTACCACCCAATTTGAGGAAGTGTCAATTGGGAAAATCACCGGAGCACTACAAATGTCTCGGAAACAAGGAGAGTTCGACAAGAAGAGATTGAAAAGCTGAGAAACCTATTGAAAACCCTTGAAAAGCCTACTGTGGTATGCTCTTTGGGTAAGGTCTCTAGTTCAGGTAAAGCTTCTGGTTCTCATGGATTAAATGTCTCGGTTAAGCCTATTACGAGTTTTTGGGTCATTGACTCAAGAGCCACAGACCATATGACACATTCCTCACAGAAGTTTAATACATATACCCTGTGTCCTAGTAATAAGAAAATTGTTGTTGCAGATGGTTCACTTACTACAGTGGCAGGATTAGAAGATGTTCAAGTTAATCCCTCGTTTGTTCTCAAAAATGTTCTTCATGTTCCTGGATTGTCTACTAATATGATATCTATACAAAAACTTACCAGAGATATGAATTGCAAAGTGACTTTTTATCCCTCTTATTGTGAATTTCAAGACCAGAGTTCGGGGAAAAGGACTGGACTTGCTAAGGAAAAGGATGGACTATACTATCTTGAGATATCAAATAACACAAGTAATATCAAGAATAGTTTACCTTTATCATTTCTTTCTGAAAAATCTTCCAATAAAGATAAAATCTGGCTTTATCATTTTCGTCTTGGACATCCTTCTTTTGGAACTTTGAGAAACATGTTTCCTTCTTTGTTCAAAGGATTAAATGTCGAAGATTTTCATTGTGATGTTTGTGAATTTGCAAAGCATAGATGTGTGTCTTTTCCAATTAGTAACAAAAGAAGTTTTACTCCCTTTTACTTGATTCATTGTGACATTTGGGGTCCCTCTACAATTCCTAATATTTCTGGTTTAAGATGGTTTGTTTCATTCATAGATGATTGTACCAAGGTCTCCTAGGTTTTTTTACTTAAATCCAAATCAGATGTGAAAACTATGTTTTTAAGCTTTCAAAACATGATCCAGAATCAATTTGGAGTGAGAATCAAGAGATTTAGGTCTGATAATGCAAGAGACTATTTCAACCAGAGTCTATCCACCTATTTCCAAAAAGAGGGGATTATCCATGAGTCCTCTTGTATTAATACTCCACAACAGAATGGAGTGGTAGAGAGGAAAAACAGCCATTTACTAGCCACAACCTGAGCCTTCCTTTTTGAAGCAAATGTACCCAAATCTTACTGGGGGGAAGCTGTTCTCACTACCACACACATTATAAATAGGTTACCTTCAAGGGTTTTGGGATTTAAAACTCCTATGGAACTACTATCACAATTCTATCCTAACCTTAATACCACAAACAACCTCACACCTACGATATTTGGTTGTACATCATTTGTTCATGTTCACAGTCATAACAGAGGAAAGTTGGATCCAAGAGCAATTAAGTGTATCTTTGTGGGGTATTCATCAATTCAGAAAGGGTATAAGTGCTATCATCCTCCTACCAAAAAATTTTGTGTCTGCAGATGTCACTTTTGAAAAAAATAAACCATTTTTTACTCAACCTTATCTTCAAAGGGACACTTCATTCATGGAAGATAAGGATAAAGATTTCTTTTTGCTTGATTTGTCCCCTTCTTCAATATTTTCACCCATTAATTCTTCTGAGTCCAACCCTGTTTCTGCTGAGCCCAAGTCAAACACTGAATTTGAGTCTGAACCCATTCCAAATATAGAAGATGTGACAAAGGATAATATTTTTCTTGATTCTATGAAGGAATTACAAATGTACTCAAGAAGGAAAGTTCTAGATCCTAAACCAGTGCTAGTCTAAGAAACTGATCCTAACTTTGGAAATAAGGTAACTACAGTTTTTGACTCTGTTTCTCAAAATGAGCATGAATCTCCTAAAGCTATAACTAGTGATTATGATCTGCCTATTGTCATTAGGAAAGGAACCAGAGAATGTACTAAGCATCCACTATACCCAATCTCTAATTTTGTGTCATTTGAAAAATTCTCACCATCCCACAAAAATTTTCTTGTGAGCCTAAACACTATTTCTATTCCAACTAAATTATTCGAGGCATCATCCAGTGAGAAATGGAGTCAAGCCATGAAATAGAAATGAAGGCTTTAGAGAAAAATAAGACATGGGAACTGGTAGAGTTGCCTAAAGGAAAAAATCCAATGGGGTGTAAATGAATTTTCACTGTAAAATACAAGGTGATGGTACTGTTGAAAGGTATAACGCCAGGTTAGTGGCTAAGGGCTAAACTCAAACCTATAGAGTGGATTATCAAGAAACCTTTGCTCCAGTTGCCAAGATGAATACAGTTAAGATTTTGTTATCATTGGCTGCAAATTACAATTGGCAGCTTCAACAATTTGATGTAAAGAATGCTTTTCTACATGGTGATTTGGAAGAAAAAATATATATGAAGGTTCCACCGGGATTTAGAGGTCATCTAGAAGCAAACAAAGTATGCAAGCTGAAAAAGGCTTTATATGGCAACAGTCTCTTAGGGCTTGATTCGGGAGATTTGCCAAAGTGATGCTAGCAATGGGATATAAACAGAGTCAAGGATATCACACATTGTTTATCAAGCATTCTAATTCAGGAGAGTCACAGTTCTATTAGTATATGTTGATGATATAATTGTAACTGGAGATGATGAAAAAGAGAGAGAATCTCTAAAACAATGTTTGGCTAGAGAATTTGAGATAAAAGAGCAAGGGAGATTGAAGTACTTCCTAGGAATTGAAGTAGCTCACTCACGGCATGGTATTTTCATCTCACAATAGAATATGTGATGGATCTTCTAAAAGAAACTGGGAAGCTCACATGTAAACCTGCAAATATCCCTATAGATCCTAATCATAAAATTGGAGAAGCTAATAAAGATGCTGCTGTAGATAAAGAGATGTACCAAAGATTAGTTGGAAGACTCATTTATCTCTCACATACTAGACCTGATATAGCATATACTGTGAGTGTGGTAAGTCAATTTATGCATAATCCTAAAGAAGTGCACCTACAGGCTATCTACCGTATATTGCACTATTTGAAGGTCAATCCTGAGAGAGGTATCTTATTCAAAAGAAATTCGGAACTAGTTCTAGAAGCATATACAGATGCTGATTATGTAGGTTCAGTAACTGATAGAAGATCCACCTCAGGCTACTGCACTTTCTTAGGTGGTAATCTTACTTTGAGAAGTAAAAAACAGAATGTGGTGGCAAGATCAAGTGCTAAAGCAGAGTTCAGAGCAATGGCTCAAGGAATTTGCGAACTACTATGGTTAAAGATTATCCTAGAAGACTTTATGATCAAGTGGGATTGACCGATTAGACTCTACTGTGATAATAAGTCTGCAATAAGCATTGCGCACAATCCTGTGCAACATGACAGAACAAAACACATTGAAGTAGACCGGCATTTCATAAAAAGAAACTAAACAGTGGGTTGATTTGTACACCTTATGTATCAACCAAGGGTCAACTTGCAGATGTGTTGACTAAAGGTCTCAGCAGTGCAACATTTCAAGAAATTATTTCAAAGCTGGGAATGGAAAACACCTATTCACCAACTTGAGGGGGAGAGTGGGAAAACATTTATTTACAGCTGGTTGTAATCTTGTAATCTATGTATTTATATTTGTATCTCTAGAATTAAGTATTTGTTTCCCTAGAATTAATGACAAAAAAGTAAGATAGACAATCCCTCAATTATAGGATCAGTTTTTAGGAAGATTTAGTTTCCTAGTTTAACCCCTATTTAGTTGTATATAAACCTAAGGTTCTTATATAATTCTTAATGAACAGTTTTTCAATATTCATTATGTTTTACTCTTAGTTTTTCCACAAAGGTTATAGAGAAAAACAAGCTAAAATATAAGTATTTGATATCTAATGATCAAGCCAGGGGAATAGACAAAGATAGACGAGTTCAAGAGTGTTTAAGTTCTCTCCTTTTTCCTTTCTAAAGCTTTTCTTTGGTAATTTATGTCCTTATTTTGCTGTTAGTTCTCCTCACTGAGTCTTTTCCTTAAGAACTTTGTTAGCAATTTGTACTTCTTAGGCAAGTGTTCTCTGCAAAATTCCTTTTTCAACCAGCAGAACAAGAAATAAATATTGAGTATATAATACATGAACTAGACACTGAAAATTACACATAGCATACCCTAGTTAAATTCCTGAATAATATTGGCCCAGGGAGGAAGCACTTACTCAATCAGCAGAAGAAATGAGTGGAGGTTGTTGGCTAGCCTGCTGTATTAGTGCAGCGAGTGAAACACTCTGATTTCCGGTTAACAACCAAGGTTGTCCAGCAACTGGTGCAACCGGTGCATGCACTTAAGTTATAGGGTGAAACTGGGGCAGTGTGCTGACATTGTTCTGGGGGAGGCCAAAAGAAGATGGTGCAAACTAGGAAAATGTAAAAAGATCAGAGAAGGTGCAAGACATTCCTTGAACTCAAGAAAGACTAAAAAAAGGGCAAAATAGAAACATAGTCACGAGGCCTTACACTATATGATGAAGAGGGGGGCATTCCAGGGGCCCCTAAGCCTGGCATATGACTATTCAAAGGGGGACCAGTTTCATGTGACTGTGGTGATTCAGACGTAAGAGATCTATTTGTTTGACTATATGGTACTTGTATAGGCTGTGCTGAAGGTGTAGAAAGACAGGTTGATTTGGCCAGGGTGTAAACTGCTGCATTGGCTGAGAAAACTGCATCTGCGGATTTTGAACAGCTGGAATCCCAACATTTGAAGAGGGGACCTGCCCAACAGGCCGAAACTGTTGGGAAGCAGCTGGAACAAAATGCTGTCTTTATTGTGCTGGGAGCAGCGGTCGAAACTGTGATGGAAATTTTCAGACACAATGCATTTAATAAATTTCTTTCAGAAGATGAAAATGGCTACTAAACATAAAAAAAAAAAAAATGAAGGAAATACCTGTGAAGACAAGGGAGAGCCATAACTTTGAGGACCCAAGGATCCAACTGCAGGAGGCCAATGTTGCTGGGAAAGAAAAGAGGATAGCAACGAAGTTTGAACATCTTAGATCTTCATGTTAAAACTACACTAATGGAGATTGCGTATGAATGAACTTTAGGCAAAACAACATGCAATTTCTCATTGATATTAAAACAATATTGCCACGGGAGAATCTTGTCAAAATCAGGGCTCGAAATTTCCATATTCAAGTTATTTCAAATTATGTCCAATAAGAAAAAGAAAGAGAAGCTTTCGATGATGTTTATAAATTTTGATAAATTTCGATAGAACATGGCAACAGCAACCAAGATTTAACCCAATCTTGGATAAGAATTTAGATTATAGAAGTAAAACCAAGAAAATTAAACCTAATAAACATACCACCTGGGCACTAGAGGGTTGAGAATTGTTGGCCATTCCAGCACATTTGAAAGATTATCTCAAATACCTGCAAAAATCAACACGAACGATCACAAAAACAAGATAGAAACTGCATCCAAGAGTTCACAATTTAACCGAATGAAATGGCTCAATTACCCACACCAGAAAATATAATGAAACAAATTTACTCCAGATCAATCCTATAAAAGTTATAGAAAACAAAGAAGTTAAATTTGAATTATTAACACTTACAGGTATCAAGTGAAGAAGAAAGAGTCTCGATAGTGCGGGAAAGCTTGGATCTCAGTATCAAGATTTTAGGAGGTAGGGTTTAAGGTAGGAATACGTGGAAACAGAGAAACGAGATCCTTTTCTTTTTTTTGTTCTTTTTTCCTGCTTCCTTTTCTCCGGTTTCGCCGCTTATATCTTTGACGGGTACAGCTTTACCCAGGATTGACCGGGTCGGATCCGGAAGATCTACTGTTTCTTTCTGTTTTGCTCATTTTGATCATCTTAATTAATTTTGTGTTTTAACTTTTTATTAATCAAACTTATATATCAATTATCATAAATTAATAATTAAGAAAAAATTATTTGATACATTATTTTATAAATTAAATTAATAAATTAACAAATATCTTATTTTTTAATTATTTTTTAATTATTTTAATATATCTTAAGAAATATATATCATCTTATTAATTTAATTTCTAAAATTTAACAATGTTACAATCAATATTTTTAATATTTTTTCTTAATAAAAAGCTAAACATAAATAACTATTGTTTGATATAATATAATATAATATATATTTATATCAAATTTTAATATGATATTTCTGTTTTCAATTTTTATGTCACCATCCCCAATCAATTTTATGGGTAGACCTCAAATGTTGTCATCCAAATATTATGTCCTACGATTACCCAAAATTAACTTTAAAAATATTAAGATCTTTTTAATAATAAAGTCCTAAAGCAAGAATGTTACATATTTATTTAAGTCATATTCTTTTATTAAGAATTAAAATCAGATAAAATTTTTAAATTTTAATAATTAAAAGAAAACTATTAATGAGTGTTTAATAAAAAAAAAAAAGTAAAATTGAATTCACACCTTAGTACCCGAATGAACCATTAAAGAAACCGGGGAGCATCCGGAACTATATCCTGGTAATCGCGTCGCCCAAACACAACAGAAGGAAGAAACGAGCGATAGTCCTCAAGCCTACCTCGTTCTTCATCGTTTTACTTCTTGCCATCCATTTGGCGTTTAGGTTTTCTTTTCCAATTTGCCCCTAGGGTTTTTCAGCTCATTCCTCTTTGGCAGCAAAAGCGAAAGAAATCTCCGACTCCGACGACTTCCTTTCCTAACAATTTCTTAATCAATTTCAAATAATTTCTTTTTTTTCTTTCAATTTCTTGCGGCTCCTTTTTAAGCCGGCTCAACATGACCGGATCCGGTGCCGGAGAAGGCCCGAGCCTGATAAAGCAACTAGCGGCTTGCGACAAGTCGACCCGAGAAATAGCCGTACGGTATCTCCTCAACGCGTGGCTTCCTTCACAGACCGAAGTCTCGGATGAAGAGATGAAGAGGCTCTGGAAAGGTCTTTTCTACTGCGTTTGGCACGCCGACGAGCTGCCGACTCAGTCCGACCTCATCGATAAGCTTTCCTCGGTTCTCCCGAAGCTCGAACCAGGTCTATCTATCCAATATTTCTCTGTTTTTCTTCTTACTATGCGTCGCGAGTGGAACGGAATTGATAAGCTAAGGTTAGATAAGTTTTGCCTCTTAATTCGTAGGTTTTTGAATTGCTTTTTTAGTATGTTGAAGAAATGGTCGTGGGATTTGGATCTTTCGCGTCGTTCGATTAGGGTTTTAGTTGATGGAACTTTTTTAGCTGATGATAAGTTTAATGGGAATGGCGTTAATTATCACATTGCTTTGGTTTTTCTCGAGGAAATTAGGCGCTTTCTTCCTGTAAAAAAAGAGGTTGTTGAGGTTTTGTTGGAACCATTTGTTGGAATTATGGGGAAAGTGAGTGATAAGGTTTTGGTTGGGAAGATTAGGAGTAATGTATTCGATGTGTTTGTTAAAATGGGAAGGAGATTGTTGGAACTTAAGAGGTCTGGTGAGGAGGTTGATGAAGGTGATGATGTGGTTGTGTTGGGGACGATTAGTTTGATAATGGGATTCTCTACGAAGTTTTATGAATTGGGTTCGTCAGTGGATTGCTATCAAGGTAATAGAAAGGTTGTGTTAGCATTACACGAGGAATTCTTGAAGTTGGAGAACGATATGACATCATTGGGTTTTGATATTTCGATTCCTGAGGGTAATGAAGGTGATGAAGAAGATGAGGTGCCTGAATTGATACCTATTGCTAACAAGATAGAAGTGGATGGTTCTAATGATGTTTTGGAGCCAGTTGAAGTTAATGTTAATGGTACTGCCAAGAAGGTGTTGAAGGAGAGCAAGAAGGCCAAAAAGGTGACTGAGGGCAGTGGTAAAACGACTAAAAAATGCAAGGATGCTGAATGTAGCACTGCAGATCAGGAGAACGATAGTCTGGTACCTGCAGAAAGTTCCAGTTCTACTATTGAGAAGAATGGTGATGGGGATTTGATAGCATTTACTAAATCAGTGATTTTGAACCTTCAGCTCCAGTTTGAGAAGGTTGCTGCAGAAGTGGGCTTGAATAGCGATGTTGGAAATGCCTGCAATTTGCCAAAAGTAAATGGTGCTGTCTCAAAGAAGAGAAAGAGAGCAAAGAGTACAGATGGCCGTAAATCCCAGAATGGGGAGCTAACCAGTCAAGGGGATGGTGAAGGTGGTGGAACCGCAAAAAGTGGTGAGAATAGCACAAAGAGGGTAAGATTTTCAATGAAAAACAACTTGGTTTGGAAGCCCCACAACCCTTTACCTCCACTAAGTTTGAGATTACCGCCCTCTGTTACTCCTAGAGGAAGTGCACTTAAGAAAGGGATACCTCCAGGTCCTATAAGGGAAATGCCTCCTATGACTAAAAAGGTAAAGAAAGCTAAATCTGTGAAGAAGGCTCGGAAAGTAAAAAAGAGCATGTATCCTCTAGCCAAACGCACAAAGAAGTTGAAATCTATGTCCTCTTAGCAGAGTCTGCTTTGTGAATTTGTTCTTTTGTGGAAAAAGGTTTACATGCTTAGTAAATTTTCTAAATTTGGTAATTGTTCTCTCTATTTTTTTTTCATAGTTTAGACTTTCTAGTTTCCATCAAATATAGTCTTTTTTCTTTCTAGACCTTTTGGTCTTTGAATTCTGAAGTTGATTGTGATGACAAGGTGATTTACCCATGAGTGAAAAATGGACCTTGGATTGAATTATATTCTTTACTTGATGGTGGATGTATGAATTAGCACTACTGGATTGACAGTATTATTTCTTTGCTCCTCAAATTTTCTAGCATTTATTTGTTGGTGTTATGTTTTGGGTATTATTTGACTAATTTTGGGATTGAGCTATTCATTGTGCATGTGCATTCTTATTGATACATATCTGATTGAGGAACTATGCTTTCTTCACCCTTCTCTTCCCTTCTGAATCCTCATGTTCACTTTCACTTACTGCAAGATTTTGGGTCATTTTCCCTCGTTTGGTGTGAATTTTTTCATCGTCATCTCTCTCAAGAGGTCAACCTGCTTCTTACGCTAGGATTTAGTTTGGAAATGAAAATTGGCTCTGCTTTTCTGAACAGTAATTTGAGTTGTGATTAAATCTGATAAGTAGTTCTAATGTCCATATCCATCTGCAAATGTGTACAACTAGAAGATTTTTTTTTACCATGAAAGGGGAAAAACGAGCGCCTTGGATTTAGAGTTCAACATCGTTCTTGTTGAAGCGGTATATTTGCTTAATGCGAGAGTGGTAATGAAAGCCCAACGCTGATAATTCATGATGGCCCATAGCATGAATGCTAACACGGATGTTGTGTTGCAACCTGAACGCCATAGGGCCATACATCGCTTACCAATCGAAAAATGAATCAAAAAATCGGTTTAATACCTGAGATGATGGATCGACAATTCTAAAACGTTTTATTGGATCAAGGCCATAATGGCATAAAAAGTTAATTATTATGCCATATGAAACTCACGTTCTCTTGGACGGTTCTGTCTTGTTAAAAGAATCCCGTTGCCCTGTTAGCGTAATTATCATGGTTGATAAAATGAGAATTTCTGAAATCAAATCTGCAGCGGGGTTTTGTTTAGTCGATCTCACAGCAAATAGGAATTCTCCTTGTCAAAATATTGAATAAGTTGAAGATTTTATTTATTCTTTTTATTATCACTTATCAACTTTTCATAAGAAAAACTGCAGCTAAAAACTTCTCTTATTTTATCTTCAATTTTCCTTGTATTAATGAATTACAAAAGGGTGTGACTTGTGAGAGTGCCAGTGCTTATTCTATCAAAGCTCTAAGTTGAATTGGTGACAGCCCATAAATTCTAAACTAAAGCCATTGAAAGTGAAACCTAAGACATAGTCCACTGTTTCACAGAGGCCCTGCGAAAACAGATTGGCTTCTCTGCTCAGTCTTCTTCTAATTATGGTGTTTTAGTTACCATTTATACTTCGTCTATATCATTTCTGTTGGTTGAGATGTATGATTATAAGCAAATTCCTCGTATTGAGTGCTCTGCCAAACCATTTACACCCATAGAATATGTGAGCACCAATATTCTAATCACATTTATTTGTTTAGATATATGAGCTCTTACTATTTCATATTCATCTAATAAGACCTACCCTCAACTAGGATGTGGACTTTTTGTTCTTAATGTTTGAAATGGAAATTGGTGGGATGTCCTTCTAAATTCATGCACAACATCACATTGTTAGGTGAGACTTTTCATTCTGGGTGAATATGGGTGCCTGTTCAGTATTCAACATTACTGACTTCCTGTCATTTGAATTTGTATGATTATGATCATGAGATTAGATGGCAAACTTTTAGGGAACAACAAATGTTTGATTGTAAATTTAGAAATGATTTCCAAAGGCATATAGTAGCTGGCTGTATGATCTGCACAAAGCATTTTACTTATATGCTTTGTGACAGTAACCAGCTCCTTAAAACAATGTGTTGGTGTTTAAAGCCCTAATCAGACAACAAGAGCAATGTCACTGGGGAGGGTTATGTACACCTCTATATTTTAATTGTTTGGTTTTGACTTCATATGCTATTCAGACAAATTGTGTGATTCTTAATTAATGCTAGTAACCAATTACTTAGGTAAGAAGATTTTTAATGTTGTTGGCACTGGTTTTACAAATGCCTTTTGCTACGGCAGTTGAACTTCAGGCTGTAGATGAGTGAACCAGACTTCATGATTTTGTATCCTATAGACTGGTGAAAACTGCTGCAAAAATAAATGAATTTCCTACCAAAATCTGGTGGCCTGCTTCAGTGTTGCCTTTATTTCCTAGTTTAAACTTATGCGTTGCCAAGAAATGGTATCATTAACAAAAGGAATGTCCAGGTTTTACTATGAAAGGTGGCTTTGAATGTTTGCATCTGTATTCTTTATGATCGTTTTACATGAATATTTCCTACTCTACTATAAGACAAATAATTGATTTAGCAGTTGAGTTTCAGCTCAGTAGATGGTTGAACCAGACTTGATCTTGTTTTCCTAATTATAGACTGGTGAAAAATGCAGGAAAATAAATCGATTTTCTACCAGAATCTGGTGCCTGGCTCAGTATGGCCTTTATTGCCTTTAAAAAAACCAATGTATTGCAAAGGAATGTTATAAAATCTTAGAATAGAAAACCTTGACAAAAGGAATATACCCTTCATGACTGATCTATGAAAGGTGTAATTTTAATGTTTGTATTCAAATGACCGTTTTCCATGAATATTTCCTGTTATTGTTGAGATATTCAAAATCATGAGACAATAAAAAGTATGATTGGTTAGGTTATTGGAGTAAATGGGAGAGGGAAAGCTTTATCCTTTCTGTACAGCTGTTGCAAATTTTGTATCTTTGAAATAAATCATGGAAAGTGGAGAACTATAGCCTAATAAATTGCTAACATAGACACATACAGGTTAAGGATGAGTATTTTGGTGTAGAAGTCTTGTAATCCCATGCAAACAACAGTTAATTGACTCCGTGATGGAAAACTAATGTGACATTTATGCAGAAAGGACTTTCAGTAAGAACATCAAATGCAAATGTGTGCAGTACGCAAGTTCCTTCAATCTTTTGTTTCACTTGATTATGTTGCAGAGGTTTTTTTTAATTCGGTAATTGCAGAAGGAGATGACCGGAAGTTTAATGACGACAATGATTATCAAACCTGCAGAAGGCTTGGGTTTCACATTCTGCAGAAGACCGTTGGATACTTGGATAGGCAGCTGCAAGTAGCCAGTGAGAATGCCTATCAAACCTAGGTCCACATTCAGGCTGCTTCAAAGTTGTTTGGACTATAACACAACGGAAAGTAACATTTTTACCCATTGTTGCTAAGTTGACTTAACACTTGAAACAGTCTCGATTTTCATGGAAAGATATACCTCTGGAAATGAGTTCCTTTTTGGCAGACACATTCAGGCACCGGACCAGGCCTTGCAGTTCTAAATAGTGAAAGATTATGTTCCCATGAAAGAAAAAGACAATTTTTCAGCTGTTAGTTGCCTTGTGTCTTTCTTAACCGAACAGGATTGACCATTCTTACCATTAGTTAAACTCCAAAAGTTCCAGGTTCACTGTATATGGAAATTATAACTTCCTCTAGAGCGAGACAAACAAACCTGTGAGCCGCCATATTTTACCAACCAACCGCCATTCCTCGCCAACAAAACAATGTTGCCAGTTATACCTAACATGTGCATGAAAGGCTGAAAATCAAATTTCAGACAAACTGACATTGCCTAGTTATAATTAGTTTGATCTATAATTTTTAGGAACAAACCATGGCTAAAAAAGTACAAATTACAAAAATTAAAGAGATTAACATAATAATATAAGCTTTAATAACTAATTGTTCCATGTTTGTCAGACAGAAAATTCATGCTGCTGCTTGTTCTTCTTCTTCTTCTTCCACAACCAAGGGACTTGTCGGTGGGTAAAGTGGTTACAAAGCAGGCAAAGAGGAAGAATGGACAAGGGTTGAACCAAGGAGGTCATTGCAAAGGCTAGCACTTTCATGTGTTTTGTTATTCTCTGCTCCTGGGCTGCTTCCAGCACTGCTATTAGAAAGAGAACCAAAGGTAGTCTTTTGTAAGACCCCAGTAGGAGATGATCCTATCCGAGGACTATTATCCCAGCCCTGTGTCATAAGATTAAGTGATGAGTTCTTGTAGTCTGCTGTGCTGCCGTTAGTACTGTGCAATACCTCACCAAGAGGACCACCCATGGACGTATCCCAAGATACAGGAATCCAATTTGCCTGCCTCTGGTTTGGTTCATTAATAACACTGCCCACTCCCAATCCCATGTGTGTAGGGTCAAATTCACGTGATAATCTCAGAGGCGACAGTGTTACTTTTTCATTGTTGGGAGAGGAAGTGGAGGACATGAAATCTGAGACAGCCATGGGTATTGATATGGAAAGCTGAGTCCTGTCTGATTGAACATCAACTTCAGGCCAGGATATGGCTGAGCTATCAGACTGGCTTTTAGGCCAGTCATCCATGAACTGGCGAAGGGAATGCTGGGATTCAGTTTCTTGACTAGTAAGATCTTGAGAAGAAACAAAATTTCTGCACTCGATCAAGGAAGGGTTTTTATGGGAAGCGTTAAGGAGTGAATCAGAGGAAACACCTCCAAACTCATTTCTTGAAATTTCTACATATGATATCTGCTGCTTGGGAATCAAGAAAGGGTTCTCTTTAGATTTTAGGTCACCACTGGGGGATATCATGGTGAGTCCTGGTTCAGTATCATGTATCATTTCACCCACAGTGACTTTGTTCAGAAGCAACCTGCAAGAGCAACAATAATCAATAGAATTAGAATCCATCAAATGACTAGCCAAAATATGCACGAAAAATTATGTAAAATCTAACTTGTACTTAAATAACAAGCTTCTATAAACAAGTTTAAGTAACAGGTATTAAACAATTTGTTAAAAAGGAACCAAAAAGACCAGTCACTGTCATGATTCTTAGGAATGCAGAAGATAAGTAGATTCTAAAATTATTGTTCTTTATAAAGCAAAAGAAGATAAGAGGAACACATGGGCAGATGGTGGCAGCACCCTAGCATGCATGTCAAGATAAATGTTATCAACTGCAGCTTACAAACAAGGAATAAAGGCAGGGGTATAATTCTATCACCTGTTCAGTGGATCTGCCGCAGAAAGATTAGATGCACCTCCAGGCTGCAAATTCTTGAACTGCTGCTGTGCAATGGCGAGGCTGTTGGACTCGCCGCTGCCACTGACTGGCCCTACCATTGAAGCTGAACAGGATGAGACATTAGGCATCTGCTTGGTGGTAGTAGCGGTGGTGGCTGCGGCGGAATGGCCGGATTGGCCTTCCACAGGCTTTCTTGAACGATGGCGTCCCCTGTTCATGTGCCGCTCACAATACTTCTGGTCGGCAACCGCATCTCTTGAGCACCGCCATTTCTTTCCATCTGTTCTACGACATCGTCCTGGCTCAGGATCAGTGTTGTTTGAGAACCCAAGATGAAAAGTTCCCCATCCCACTGTTGGAACATCATAAAAAAAGAAAATGGAACACCTATGTCACAAAACAGACTAACAAAGAAAAAACAAACACTACAATTAACAAATTCCAAATTCTAACTTCAAAACGAAATGCAACAAAGTTTTAAGTGGAAGATCCTCGCCTAAGCATGGATGCCAATTTCCTTTTCTGTTAGCTAATCTGCGTTTTGGTACAAGTTTTTTATTTTCTACTTTAATATTGGTTTTTTACCTACTTACTTTAAAAAGGTTGGGTGAAGTTGCCTTGTCCCATATGGGGACCAAAACAAATGTGAAAATGTGCAACACTTGAAAATTTAAGTGCCAGACAGTGATGCTTTTGATTGACACAGATTATGAAGCAAGCCAAGTAACGCGCGTTTGGTGCATTGTTTTCACTTTAGCTCAACAGTGTTTACTTGCATTCAGGTTTCAGGTTGGAAAGAAAAAATACATAAAAGAACCCAGAAAGCACTTTTTGGCCAATAAGATAAGAGAGGAAAATTAGAGCATTAATATCTCAGTATCAGTACTCAGTAGAAGAGTAGAAAGTAAAGAGCAGCACTATTGGTGCCGCCCCCTTCCCATTCCAAAATCCTTCTGAGAAATCTCTTTGCTGCAACTTTTGAAACAACCAAGAAAATTTATATGGGCATTTTGAAAAACAAAAAAGTTAGATTTTCTTGCTTCTCTAAGAAGAGACAGAACTTACATGTATTGGGTCTGAGGAGTCCACCAGAAAAGCTAGAGAAATCAGCAGAATCAAAGGCTTTTCTTATAGGAATGAGAAGATTAGATGGTATAGGCAAATTTGCAGTTATGTATTTATAGATCAAAGCCTGATGTTCCAGCTCCACCCATTGAGATGGACTGAATGGTCCTCTGGCTCCAGCTAACACCCCATGCATGTTTGCACCATTAAATCCTCCAGTGTTGTGGCCTGAAACATTAAATCAAGAAAAACAAATAAGATTAAAGAAAAGGTAACAAAGCCAAAATTGCAAGACTTTCATCCCAGCACAGTGGAAATAAAAAAGGCTTGTAGTTTTTATTCTAGTGTAAAAGGGAAAAAAGGATTACAGAAAGAGGTTTGGCAGGTAACCCAGAAATCATAACTTGTCTGCAACATTTAAGGAGGCTACAAGAGCCATGGGTTTGTTGTCTTTGAAACAATAAGAAAACAGAAAACAAAAGGAAGATGGGGAAAAGGTAAAGATAACAAAAAAGAAACATAAGGATAACCCAAAAACAATCAAAGGATGGACCTTTTCGTTCTCACACTTTACTACCATTCGTTCCGTGTCTGTGTTTTTCTTCTTTTGTTTCCCATACTCACTGTTTGATTTATTATAAAAAATATTTGAAATAGATGATTTTTAAGGGGAAGAAAGTTAGAAAAACTCACTTTTTATCGACAAGACTTATAACAAAGACCAGTAATAGATTTCCATGAAAAGACCCATCACCAGAACCATGGAATCAAACCAAAGAACCAATAACAAAACATGTCTAATCTTTGCTACAACTCACAAGCATGCATTAACCAACAGAATACAGCCATTTTTACTCCTTTCATTTCCTCAAATGATGTTGAATAGGCAACAATGCTATAACGTTAACATTGCTTCAATATATTTATACCTGTATTTCTTGTATAAGCAGATGATTTGAGGTGAAAGTAAGGGAACGTGACATTTTCGTAGCTCCTATCCACTGAAAAGGCTTCTGATTTGGGAGCAGAGAAGCTCAGCATTTGTTGCTGTTCTTGTCCGTCAGATAAGATAGAGGCATTAGATCTCCAAAAAGCATTTCTCTGCTGGAGCAGCATTGCCTTGGAGGCTGTAAAATCATCATTTTTGGCCAGTTTTGAACTCCTCCAGTCATCTTCATTATTGCCAGATCTCTCTTGCTTGAGGAACCCAGATCCGTACCACTTCTGCTTTGTCTCAGGATCTGAAGCAAGAGAAGTAAAACCTGTAGTCTCTGAACCCACAAACCCCTCCAAACCAACAACCGCTAAATCCATATAGAAAAGCACACACCCCAACCTACAAAAACTCTAGACTTAAGAAATGAAGCATTGGGTTATTACTCGAACTAAAGACAACAGCTTGAGAGTGTGCAAAGAGGTTCATTTTAAGTGTTTGGTTAACAGGTTTTATGGTTTAAGCTTTAGCTCAGACTCAAACAATACTAGTTTTCTTTCAAAAATTTGATGTTAGGGAAAAAAAAAGGTTTGAGTAATCGGAGAGAGAGAGAGAGAGAGAGAGAGAGTATGAGAGGCAAGGAGAAAACTGACTGGACAAGGCTACTACTGAATACTCTAAATATAGATATCTCAGACATACAAACAAAAATAAAAAAAAAACACAGTTTTTTTTTATTACTCGACCATATGAAAACCTCAGTTTTTTAAGCAACCATAACTTTTTCCACCTAAATTTTTTTTTTTAGCCTAGATAGATCACTTAAACACGTTAAGTTTTTAGCTTCATCATTTTTTCATGTCGGAAGTTCTAGATTTACAAAAACCTCCTTGAAACGTTACATAATTTAGTCAGAGACATAAGGTTCTTTGACAGATACAAGAAGGGTTCATCTGTCATTTCAAAATCCTCCATACGCAAACTTTGACACTTTCCCACTTCTCCGTTCATCTTTTGGTACCCTTTTTTTTACAACGTTGAGCAGTAATAAGTACTTCTTTTCATATGACATTGAGATCGTTGAATTTGAACCGGTAAAAAGAAAGAAGAGTTCTTTTTTCTTCCCATAGGCCATAGCTTTTGGTTTTAGTTGCCTAGTTGCCTTGCAAAGTCCGCTAGCTGTTATCTTTTCTGCTCTGTTTCTCTCTCATCTTAAAGTTAAAAGGGCCAAGAAGTGGTGGGCTGCATGCAGTCATGCATTGCCACGTGACAGTCGCCACAAAAAATTCTACCATCTTCTCATTCCCCCCACCACTCTCTCTCTTTCCCTGTTCACACTCTCTGAACATCCCCTCTTAAATTTCTGCTCACGACAGTCTCTTTCATGGAATTTACGACATGCGTGAATTCAAACAGCAACTGAATATGTATTATAAATTCGTAATTATAAAAAATTTCTTTTTCGTCAACTCTGCATACTCCATATAATTAAATCTACCCAGGTATAGGTATAGCATGGAGAGCTGGAAAAAGGTGTATGTTCCGATAAGTTGATGCTGTCCTCCATGGGCAATAAGCTATCCAATTTGGTGCCGTTAGAAAAAGAAAAAAAAGTTTTGATTCCAAGCAAGAGGCAGGAGACGATGTTAGCTTACAATAAATAACCTGCTGTCTTTAGGTAAATACAATAAATAACAGTCATTAAGACAGGCTCCAAGTGATTTTTTATTCAGAACAACTTTAAGACAGCCAAACATGTTGGGTGAAATTTATAAACACTTCGAACAAACAAGTTGCAGCTTAGTAATAACTTGGATTAATGCTTTTGATTCAATGAAGATTCAACATTTGTAAAAAGTTACCCATGTTGAATGCCATTTTTTTAAGCAATTATATAAATTAATTAAATTAATATTTTTTATTTTTACCCGTCAGGTTAGGTGTTCTTCATTTATTGTTTCATTAAGTAATTTTTTTAAAGATTTGAAATCGGAATCTTTAATTTTAAAACTGATTAAATATCATTGAATTAATAGTTTGTTGATCATTAAATTATATTCATCATCCACTTATGCAAAAAAATAGAGACAAACCAGTTGGAACTTATAATCATAGGTAGATGTAAATGTAAACAGTTGGTTACAATAATAACATCTTCAAAATGATGATATCCAGAGATTTGTTGTCTTAGAAACATTCGATCATCAATAATTTCCTCAACCAAAAATTATAATAATGATTCATCAAATTCCTTCTGCTTGGATCGGAATTTATAATTTCATGGCTTAATCGTTTGTCAGGGGTATGGTTAGCAGGTTTAGTGAAGTGTGCTCTTTTCCATCTCTTCTTTTACTTCTAATAATTGGTAGTCAACCAAACTGAAGTTGTATCACCACCTTCATTTCTTAATGAAATTGCCACTATTGAAAAAAAAAAAAAGCCCACAATCATGTTCATAAGACCAGTTAGTTTAGTTGTTTCTCATATAACATCTGAATTTCTTTAATAATCTATAGAAATTATTATAAAATATTTATTTTTTAGTTAAAATTTTTTTAATTACATTTACATAAAATTTATAAATTTAAATTATTTTTACTTTAAATAAGAGTAAATAGATTAATAAAAAAATATTTTGTGTGACTCTTAATTTTATACTAAACAAACATAATAAAAGATTAAAAAAAATATCTTATCATATTTTTAATCATTACACATATTAAATATAAGATATGATAAAATCATCTAATTAATTTAATCATATTAATAATTTTTATTTTATTATATTTTTATGTGCCAAACATATCTAAAATCCTACGATGAATTGCTCCTGAAACTCCAAAGTAGACATAGTTTAATTTCCTTTCATTATTAAAGCCTATCAACATTGACATTGATGATGTGATACATAGTATCTCCGAAAGGCAAAAATTAAAAGATTTGTGCCAAAAAAAAAAATCAATTATACTGAAAGCCTATCCGCAAATGACAATTAATGTTTGTTTCCAAACAATAAGCAAAAGAAATTCAAGCCATGATTAAATCTAAATCTATATATTAATTTTCTGTTTGGAAAAAACATTTATGCTTCGCCAAAGTAGACATGGCGTTAAAAATCAATGCTTATGGGTGCAATAATGGAGACAAATTAGTTGCTCTGAACTCAAATTATTGACTGTTTTTTGTCACTCGTTTTTACATTTATTGTTTGTCACCATTGTAGTTGCTGTTTGATTCACTACTCCAAACAAAATGCTCTAGGTGTTTCTGCTAATTCTGAACAAGCTTTTCATTTGCTCTCGTTTTCTTGCTTTTGTTTTTGATCTCCGACCATATAATTTCAGTCTGCAACTCGACTTTTAGTTCATCGAAAGACTTTCGACGGATGTTGATTCAAGTCGTAAGAGAATTTGTTTTTCTTTTGATTGTGAAAAGATAATTTTTATGAATTAATTAAATTCAGTGTAAATAAACTTATTTTGACCAGCTTTAGAAAAAAATTTGTACCAAACGGAACCTAAAAACCTCTTATCTTTAACAAAAAAAAAAAAATGATTAGAATTGAATCATAAAAATTAAATTGGTGAAATATTTAGAAAAATTTTGACATTAACTCAACTTACCAAAGCTGAAATTCTTAACTAGAAGTTATATACCACAATCCTTTTGATAAGAGTATATAATGGTCAAAATGGCATAGTAATTTTTTTTTTTTTCAAAGTCTTCAACAAACAATTAAGAGTATTTTGATAATTTGTGTCAATTTGATATGTTAGATTGGTCAGATATGATCAAATGTCACATTAACTCAATCTTATCCCAATTATCCTCTTTTTATCATTTTTAACTTACCTATAAATAAATAGACTCAAGCACCATAAAAATAGGTTCATTTAATTGATCTTTTCCTCTTCTTCCTACTTTCTCAATTCAATTCCAACTTAATTCTTATTGACTTGCACATCATGTTACAAACAAAGGTAATATTTTTTGTCTTTATCTCTAACCGTCATTTTTTTTTACATTTACAGGAATACTTTCAGGTCCGAACTGGACACCAATAATTTTTTTTCTTCTTCAATTTTGAGTATAGTTTGTGGATTGTACTACATAATAAACCATAAATGCGAAGCAGTGGAAATTATCCAAAATTTTTCTCTATATTGATACGTCGTATCCAAGTGAAGCCATGTTACAGCAGATTGCACAAACCTTTTGCCTATGGTGAAAATTAAAAATCAAAATGAAAATTATTGGTCTGTGAGAAAAAAGCTGAGTTCGATTGGTTAATTAATTACCTGCAAAATTTCTATGCTTTTATGTCAAAATAAGTCTATAAATATAGTGTTATCCGCCAATTTTGTCATGATTGCTCAACAAATTAAAAAAATTCTGCAAACTCTGGCATATATTTAATTCAACCATCGATGCAAACTTTTTTAAATAAAAAATAAAAAAATACATAAACAAATAAAGCATTGATCATTCAAATAAAAAAATAATGATAAAGGGAATATTATGGAAGGAGAATGGAAAAAAAAAAAAAAAAATCTTAGGGAAAAAGAGATATTAAAAATAGTTGGAAAGAAAAGCATTGGCATTTTAGCAGCATGCATGCATGCTTTTGAAGCATCCTTGTCAGGGTTGAAACTAGGAAGACAAGTTGAAGCAGGTGGCAGAAACAACTATTCTCTTCTTTCTTTCTTTCTTTCTTACAAATTTTGCTACATATGCTGTTTCTGGTGATTTGTTAGAATTTTGCCAACAATTTCGGTGCACTCATGTTGGGTCTTTTGCTGCTTAGACAATGCATCCAACGTTAAAAGCTCCCAAAAGTCTTTTTTTTTTTCTTGTCTTTAATTTTCTAACGCCCTTTTTGTTTTCCTTCTCCAAATTCGAATGGGGAAAAAGCTTTAGTAGAAACATCTAACTTAACTCAAGTTTAACATTGTTGTCCTTCGCATAAACATTTGGTAATTTCATGTTGTCCTTCGCATAAACAGTCATATAAACATCTAACATTGTTCTCCAAATACAATTCTCTTCAAAGATTTTACAATTATATGGTTGAATCATTATAACTTTTTCTTAAACCAATATGGTTTAGATATTTTCTAGTTTGTGCCCAACAAAATTAACATAACTTTTTCAAAGTGAACATAATCTTTTAATTAATTTATTATATTGGTTTAAGAAAATGTTTTGTTGAAATTAATTTAATAATTTTTTTGAATTAATAATATAATAAATTCAGTTGTACGATTCTAAAAATGTTATGAAATCTAAACCTCCACTTATAATAATAATATTTTTGAATAATAATTTAAGTGATATTAAAAATAATAATATTTTTTGAATAAAAAAATATATAAAAAATTTATATTAAATAAATAAATTAAAATTAATATTTAAATTTAATTAATAATATAATAAATTCAGTTGTACGATTCTAAAAATGTTATGAAATCTAAACCTCCACTTATAGGTTCCTCCAATGATTTTTTATTCATTTGCTCTTTTGCTCTTCCGTTTGGTCGAAGAAAATATGAAACAAAATTTTTATTATTGCTGCCAATAAAGATTAATGTA